TGTACTAATGAAAGGGATGAGTTTGAACATAATAAATCATAACACTTGTCCACGAAAGTACACACGGACGTGTCTTAATAAATACGAAAGACTTGTTAATCGGCCTGTAACAGTTCCATATCAATTTCGAACGCACAAACTGTTCGAACGATTCTTTTGATAGGAATCGAACTGTTGGAGCAATTATTTTAAGACGAATCGAACTGCTCGAACGATTCTTTCTTTTATCTCCACGAAAACTCATCAGAAAGTTCCGCAAGACGTCTTATTTTGAAGAGCACACTTCTTCTATCAGAGTATCTATAGGAACAATCTTGTCGGAGTAACCCGTTGCGAAGCTGAAATGGTGAAACTCCTTTACATTAACCGAAATATGGTTTTGGGAATAGTATACACAAACATAGAGGAGCAACGAAAATGGGAGCTGTCTTTTACAATGAATCACTACGTTTTAAGAGGGATACACCATTCTATTAAGATGAATACACTCACCGTTGTAAGGTGAGTACACCCGGAGGATGAGGTTAAAAAAACAGGTGAAAACAGCGCTTGTTGAATATAAAACTTCAACTGCTTCTCTTTCGGAGATACTGAAGCAGTTTCACAAAAAATTTGAATATATAGGAAAGGAGAGAAAAATTTATGAAACTAAAACGGTTTAGAAAGAAAAAATTGAAAACTTTCATAATTTTTTTTATGTGGAAAAAGATAACGAAACTGATTAATAGGGGAATATTTTGACAATGCTAAAGACAGACAAACCATTCACGAGTTCAAAGCGTTACGATTTGAAAAACTTGTCAGACAGATGTGCTTATCTGTCTGTCTTACTGATTCACTCATTAACAATCTCTCCATGAGAGCTAAATTCTAATGTTTATGACACTAAATGCTAAATCCTATGTTCGTGACACAGTTTCAGCTACGGTTTTTGATAACTGTGCAGCCAGTCAGACAGACGACAGACAGACAGCTGAAATGAAGCATATTATGTGGCCGTAGTTAGAACTTTTATGTATATTATATCAAAAAGTCTAATAACGGTATTAGTAGACAAACAGACATATTTTTTAGACCGTAGCGACTTAAACTCGTACACGCTTTCAGGTGGAGAAACTGAAATGTATAATATTAAGTCATTCTTATTTATAAATAGTTCCGAATTGTCTAGAAATAAAAGTACTATATAAAAAGTCCGTGTTACCAAAAACTAAATTATAAACTATAAATGACAGAACTACTTCGCTTTTATTCAAGGAAAGTAACTTGTCTATTGCTAATACAATTTCATGGAAAAATCTTTCCCGATCCATGGATGCTATTTGCAAATTCCAAAGTTCAGATCTTTCTTTGGGAGATTAGAAGTCAATTTGATTGAATACAAAAGCTTTTTAGAGTCGAATTTAATAAAAGAAGATTCTAATTCAAATGCATTTTGAAGCGTTTAGTAAATTTAAAAATCTATCAAAACCTTGAAAATTTTTCTTGAAAGTTTGACATGAAACTGCTAGTAAAGCAGGTGATTTGACTGGAAGAATTGAAATATCATATAATGTCAGATAAAAGGCAGCGCAAGTTTCGTTGCTTTCACGAAATCCCTGTGCTTAGGGTAGATTCTAATTGATTAAAAAGTTTTTGTGGATCCATCAGTCGGAAAAACTTCATCTGCTCCGGTATCTGATTTATAATATTTCATAAATTTACACCTTAAAATGAATCGAAAAATAGAGCATGCTCAGTGCAAGATAAAACTTTCAAATGAACTGTGTCTTAACTGTGGCAGGGAGAGAGGAGGGGGTCTCCCATTTAGATTTTCCTCTAACGTTCCCAGTTTGTAGAGGATACTTCGAAGTATATGTCCTGAAGTTTTTTGGCTTACTAACATTATTTGGCTGAGAAAAAAATTAATTACTCAAAAAGTTATTGTTAAATTCTTGAACAAGGGATTATTATTAAAAAAATTCCTGTCCATTCTCCATTTATCACAAAAGCTTGGTTCTTGCCTAGATCGATAGAAAAATGTGTGGAGAATGTTTATTACGAGAAAATATGCAAGAATTTTTGTTCTTTCCCTCACCGTTTTTGGTCACTCGGTAAGTCGAAAATTGAACAATATTGTTTTAAGTAATTAATTTTTTTCTCAGCCAAATAATTTCAGTAATCCGAAAAAACTTCCGAACATACACTTCGAAGTATCCTCTACAAACCGGGAAGTCTTGAAGAAAACAATTCAAAACTTGAAAATATCGGTGGTTTTAGGCTCACCGAAGATTTTTTTACCTAACGTTACGGCTAGTTTCGCCCGAATCAAGCATTTTGAAGTAAAACTCTGAGTGCAAAAGTTGTTCAGAATTGAATTTTGGAGTCCCTAACGAGAGTTTTTTTTAACGTTTTCTTTTTCTGACTTTTAAATTAAATTGTACGGTTTTTAAAATTTTAAAATTTCGTATTTTTTAATTTAATAATCAAAAACAGATAATGTTAAAAAGAACTCTCTTTAGGGACTCCAACGACGAAACAAATAAATGGCAAATTGGACACTTCGGAGTATATGTCCCAACAAAGCTCTCGGTCCCCGGATTTAAAGCTTTTGATAAAAAAAATTGTTAACTTTTTTTCGAGTCTTTTGCCCTATTTCAACAAAAACCTAGAAGTATCCTTGTTTAACGTGCTTCGGTCAATACTGTTTTCTCTTTCTGATATTTTTTACTTTAACAATTTATCATCACAGAGAAACAATGGGATATTTTGACAATGATACATTTCAACGTATACATGATAACCTATATCGTCAGCGACTTACACAAAAAACTGATCCCAGATCTATCGATGATATTAAAATTAGGTCAAAATGAATTAAGTCAAATTTTTAACGTTGATACAAATAAATGGCAAATTGGACACTTCGACATTGACATTTTGTTGGGAAAATCTTTTAACGAAATTTACGCACTCTACTCCTTAGATAACTCCGCATAGAGAATGTCAGAAATCTATAAGAAGTACGCCATTTTATTCAAATTCGACGCTCTTTCTTACTGGCTAAAAAATAATTTTCGCAAGAGTTTAATACTTGCGCTCGATCAAATGGTGAAGTTACTACGTTATTAGGTGACGTGTCAAATAAAGGCGGAATACTCGATTGTTTTGTTTTGCCTAATGAGAATTTTAAAAGGGACCACCATGCTTTCGATGAATTTTTTGTCGAAGCCAGTCGTTCATAGTATTTCTCTCTGGCATGAGTACATCCTTTTTCCAGTCGATCACCGTATTTCTCATAAGCATTCTTATCTCCATCAGACTTAGTGTGCAGATAGCGCTTATAGCAACTCTGTTTCATACTATGAAGGTGACGAAGCTTGTCTGTGAACCAGAGTTGGTCACGCGACGATTCGGTAATCCATTTGCTTTTTAGACAAGAATTAGCAACTTCTAAGAATTTATTTTGAAATGCCTCGATTTTATCTGTACATGTTATCTGATGGTCGATAATAGAGTGGCAATTCGTTTTTGAAAGTGCTAGTCGAAAACCATCCCAGTTGCTATGCTTATAGTCGTATATGTGTAAGAAAAAGGCATTTGTTTTATTCGAAGAAGTGAAAATTCGACCATACAGTGATCGTAGGTAGTAGTAGAAGGAGACAAAACGTTGACATTAGTAACTGAGCTGAGATCATTGGTAAATATCAGATCTAGACAGGAATTAGACTTAGGTCTGGTGAGTTTTGATACTAACTGGGAGAATCCCTCCTTTATAGAAAAGTCAAATAACTGGTTGCCCTCAGGTGTTGACGGTTTCGTCGGGCACCATTTAGCTGAGTGACCATTAAAATCACCGATTAATATAACAGAATCATCCTTTATACCTGTGTTCATTCTAATTTTTTACAGGGTTTCACTCAGATGTTCCACAAACAAAGGCATAGGTGCAAGATCCTATGATCGGCAGCAAAGGGCCAAGAGACAAGATATCGATGACGGTAAATATAAGCTTAAAAAACAGGTTTCAAATCCAGCATCTTCCGAATGCGTATGTCTTTTAAATTTAATATCTTACGGATATAGAGCAAGAGTCCTCCCCCTTTGGAGGACCGATCTTTACGAATAAGACTATATCCAGTTAAATTGAGGGTGATATCAGGGTCAAAAATACGAAGCCAGGTTTGAGTCACAGCTACTACAATAGGTTTTCTTACACACACATAAGAAAACAACAGATCATCTTCAGACATCGAGAGGACTTACCTTCAACTTTTGCCAGAATGCTATTACAATTGAGGAAGAGAACTCTCATATCATCAGCCTGATGTACAGTATTCTTACTATTAACCGGCATCACAGAACAAAACGTCACAGGGACAAGGTGAATGACTATTCCAATTCGACTTATTCCTTTTACCCTCCTGAGTCAGAAAAAAAGAAAAAGAAATAAAACTAAGTCTAGTTAGCTTATTTGGTGTGATCATTGTTCTTAATCCCTTCCATCATCAATTAAACCTTTAGCATATTGAATTGAAAATAACTCAAGACGTTTTTTACCATCATTATACATAACTTTACCATTTGACGTATAAATACACTTTTTTTCTACACATATCGATTTGAAATTGATAAATTAGACTTCGTTAAATCTTCATTGATAGAAGTACCACGTTCCAGTTTTTTCTTATTCCGAAGTATCATTTGACGTGTACAATAACGCACGAAGCGCACAATAATAGCACTTGGACGTTGACCCATGGAATTGTTTACTTTACCAATACGATGGCTGATACTAATATCTTCATTATTAATAATAATATCAATTTTGGCACATGTATCAATTATTAACTGATTTGTATCTTCTCCAATACTTTCTGCAATACCATAAAACCGAAGATTTGTTCGGCCGTTATGGGTTGATAGAACAAAATGCAATTTGTAATTTATTTAGTTGAATTTCCAATTCATCAACTCTTTTTTCAAATGGAGCAATAGCTTTTTTAACGATTTGTGAAATAACTTTCAACATTACATCAGATTGAAGTACTTCTCGAACTAGTTGTTCAATATTTATTTGCGAATCATTAAATACATTAGTACCTTTCGACGTATGACCTCTTGTAGAAATTTTAGCCGGCATGTTGAGGGTAAAACAGCAAAATTTTAACTTACAACGAGATACGTAGCGTGATGACGAAGGAAAAGAAGTATACTAAGAAGAACCGACAGACAACGCGTTAACTGTGATGAAAAATAAAGTAGCATCTGATTTTATCTGTACTAATTTCGGTCAGCCGATAATCAAAAAGCTAAAGCCGTTAAAGCCAGAAAAAGCACACACAAATCTTCATCTCGACTCAACGAACGAATTTAATATCTGGCATCTGTCTCTTAGTGGATGGAGTATGCCATATGTTTCTGCTTTTGACCATCTGTGTTATGTCCTGGGACTTCTCGAGTTACTTATACCCAAGAGCTTAAAAAAGTTTTAGAACGGGCGTTCTGATCCCGTATCAAAACCTTATACGGGGTCCAGACCCCGTAGTAAGGCTGATTTATTTACATTCTACCCGTTCCCTTCTGAAAGAGTACGGGGCGTACTTTTAGCCGTTCACTTCCACCCCGTATAACTACACGTTCCGCACGGAAGAAATACGGGGCTGTGAAAAATGATTTCTTATGCTTATATGACCCGTATAACCACCCGTTCTCACGAGGAAGAGTACTCGGAGTATGTTTAGCCGTTCACTTCCACCCCTATAACTACGCATTCTCCATCGAAGAAATACGGAGCCATGCAAAATGATTTCTTACGCTTATATGACATGTTTGACGATGCGATGTTGGTTTTGATTTACGGAGAGTTTGGTCGATACCGCTGGTAGTATGATTTCTAGAAAACTGTTGTTTTTTAACCTACTTGTGCCGGAGAGAAGTTTTTTTTGTAGAAAATCTTGTGCATTTGAAACTTTTTTGGAACTGCGATGGTATTCAGGGCTGAACAGGCTGTATTTTGAGGAAACGTCGAGTCTGGAAACGTAAGTTTGAAGTTTTTATTGTTAATTTTAAATTTGTAAATTGGAACTGCTTTAAACATTTGAATAACTCTACACTCCGAAGTGATGGAGATCTCGGCCAAACGGTATTCGATAGTGAACAAAATACTAAACAAAAGTAGGTATTTGACGAGGTTCCGGAATTATATAATCCGTGCTTTCTCTAGGGTTTCTAGAAATCCTTGCACGAAAATAATGAAAAAGAATTTCGTTCTCTTGTTAGAGTGGTTTGACAGAATTACCAGATCACACAATGCAGGACCCTTGATTAATGAATTTTTGTTATTTTATACAAGAATTTCATCTGGATTAAAGGGTTCACATCTAAGTCTTTCAGTATTTCCTGCACTTAGATTATTCAGGTCCAAAGATAAAATATCACACCAGTTTTTGAGTTCGGAAACTTTGGTAGTTGGTGGACGTAAAAATGCTACTTTCCGTCATCCACGACCGAAATGACCAACTTTCTTCGGACAACCAGGAAAAGCACAAACATAAGGTATGCCTTTATTAAATATTACTTCTTTTACTTTATTATTTTGTTATACAGCGAAGATGTGAGTGTGTAAAGAAGAATATTAAAATTGAGAGATGATAAGAGGGACCGTCATTTTTAAGAAGGTAATTTATCACTTCGAAAAGAGAAAATTTAAAAGATGTAAAACTTAGGGTAGGGCTCCTAGAAAACCCTTCAGAAACCCAGGACTATGTGATACTAGGACGTCAGCAACTACCTAAGTTCGTTTAGTTTTGAATTTATTATCAAGTGGCGCTAGCCCGAGATCTCCATCACTTACCACAACTGAGATATTTAAAATTTAAAAAAAATTTGACATCTAAAAATTAAAATTTTGAGTAAAGTGCCGTCAATTCAAAAGATAAGCAAACTTTTTTTTTTGACTTTTTTTGATATCAGTTTCGTTATCTTTTTCCACATAAAAAAAATTATGAAAGTTTTTAAATTTTTCTTTCTAAATCGTTTTAGTTTCATAAAATTTTCTCTCCTTTCCTATATATTCAAATTTCTTGTCAAACTGCTTCAGTATCTCCGAAAGAGAAGCAGTTGAAGTTTTATATTCAAAAAGCGCTGTTTTCACCTGTCTTTTAACCTTATCCTCCGGGTGTACTCATCTTACAACGGTGAGTGTATTCATCTTAATAGAATGGTGTGTCCCTCTAACAGTTCGATTCCTATCAAAAGAATCGTTCGAACAGTTTGTGCGTTCAAAATTGATATGGAACTGTTACAGGCCGATTAACAAGTCTTTCGTATTTATTAAGACACGTCCGTGTGTACTTTCGTGGACAAGTGTTATGATTTATTATGTTCAAACTCATCCCTTTCATTAGTACA